AGGACGGCGGCGGCGGCGGCGGCGGCGGGGACGAGCAGGACGGCGTCATGCGCTTAACTACGGTGGCCCGAATCGGCTCCGACTGTCGGGCTCAACACTGTGAGCCGAGACCCCGTCGGTTCGCGCGTCCCCCAATTGCACAAGTCAGGTGTTGTGGGCGCCCAGCCTCTGAGCGCAAAGGCCGGGTAGAAGGTATCGCCGCTCGTCTTCTGGCGACGGAGCGGCCCATCAGAATGGCCCCATTGGGCTGGGCGCCAGGTTGGGGCTGCCCGCAGCTGGCAGTGGCCGCCTCATCCCCAGGCAAGGGCCCGAAGCTGAAGGCCCTCCCCTGCCTGCCCGTGTTCTCGGTCAAGAGTTCCCCCCGCGACCCCCGCCCCCCGTGGAAGGGCTGGAAGAAGGGCGGCGGTTCTGCGCTGGTGAGGTCATCACCTGGAACTCTGTGATGTTACAGGGCATGGCCAGAGGCCCCGCCCACACGCAAAGGCGTGCCCATTGGCCCTGGGAGTGCCACATGGACACCCTGGTGCTGCTGGTCTGCCTGCTCCTGCTGCAAAGGATGGGGGCTTTAGCACAAGGTGTCAGGGGGCATTTCTTATGGGGGGGGAGGAGAGGGACCTGGGGCAGAAGCCACCAGGGAAGTGCCTCCTGCCTTGGGCAGGGCAGCTGGAGGGCCCTTCCCTTCCTTGTGATGTCACAGAGGCTTGTGAGGTCACTGGCAGCAGAGGGCCAAAGGCACCAGGCTGCACGCAGGACAGGCCTTCGGAATATTGTCCCCCAAATGAAACGCTGAATGGGGCAGCCCCCACCCGAGCAGGGCAGGGATGCTCGGCTGTTGGACGGGGCACCCCAGCAGACCCCAAGCCCACAGGCTGGGCTGCCAGGTCAAAGCCACTTTCAGAAGTCAGGAGAAGCCCTGTGGAACTCAGATTCACTGGGAGAGTCGGGTCTCCTTGAAGCCCATTTGGGTTTGGCCGGGGAGAGCACCCTACCTGCTTCGCCAAGGAGCCCGGGGGGGGGAAGCCTTGTGGGTGCCTCCTGACGGGGAGAGTGCTTCTCTCTCTTAGGCTGCGGCTACCGACCAGAGTTTGATGCACCCCATACCCCCCCTTTGGGCGACGCCCGCATCGTGGGGGGCACGAGAGCTCGTGCAGGAAAATGGCCCTGGCTGGTCAGCGTGCAGACCAGCTCCTTCCACTTCTGTGGGGGGTCCATCGTGCACCCCTGGTGGGTGCTGTCTGCTGCGCACTGCTTCTCGGACAGAAGGTAACCAGTCGGGGCCGCTCCCTCTGTGCCTGGGAGGGAGATGGGGTGGGTGGCCCACTGCAGCTGCGGGGAAGCAAGACGTGGCCTTGCTCATCACCGAGGGAGGGTGGGGATGGGGGCAGGGAGCAGCCTGGCCTCCTTTT